ATGAAATATATCTCGATTCTTTCTCAATCAATTGTGAGATAAAAGAACATAGATTTTGGACCAATATAATATATATAAAGAATTAAAAGTCATACCAGTCATGACATATTCAGGAGCTGCATAACCATAAGTACCCATAACTCGAGTTGATACATGAGTCTCATCACCTTGGGGCCCTGCTTTAGCGAGTCCAAAGTCAGAAAGTTTGGCCGTATAATCCTGCAACACATGAACAATTTTGGAAACCCAAAAATCAAAAGGTTTGGTAGTACAACCCTACAAACAATAGAGAAAATGGAATGAATCAAAGCCACGGTATGATTGTTTCAAACACTAACTTGATTTTAGCTAATTCACTTGCTTCTTTATATTCATGCACACGAGTCAATGCAAAAATCATGGGGCAATTTAGTGTGTGGATGTGTAGAGAGAAAGAGATTATGAAAAGTCCAAATAAAACCACTTACCGAGTCTAATAGAATATTTGAGGTCTTGAAATCCCTATAGATAACAGGTCTCTCAGCATTATGAAGGAAAGCAAGCCCTTTAGCCGCCCCAAGAGCAATCATCATCCTTGTTGACCAAGATAGTGGAACAGTTGCCTCTGGATGCCTCAGGAATTTCCAGATTAATTTTAGTTAACTAAGCACTAACTATGAAATAAATATGGCTTTCTGAAATTGTTGCATAAGCAGCTTAGATATTTAGATTCTCCCCAAGTATACTATTCATCAGTAAGCGGCAAAAAATATATGCAAATGCCAATTATCATTAATGACTGCAAAAGGAGAGTTCTAAATGATCATAGTAGCGAAGAGAAAATGTTGTGATCTCTAAAAGGAGCAAACTCACTAGCAGTCTCAACCACATAATTCTTCCATTTACATGTAATTTACAAGTCCGACATATCAAGCATAAGGATTTTTCTCCATAATTTTATAAACAATCTGATAGGCCCACAGTCCAAATCACCCACCAAAGGCGCAACAAAAGGGCAGGGGCAGGAAGGAAATACAGGAAAAAAGAAGACCACATGCAAGTTACGTAGTCTGTTGAGGGAATGACCTCGAAGCAGAGCAACCTATAGATAAAGGGAGTTAGTTCCAATTGAGGAGGCATAATTTTGGTAGTCTTGGGAGAGAAGTGGACCTCTCGAACGTCCCTATCCTTGTTATTTCTTTTTTCTGTTACTTAGCTTTTCCAATCTGTTAGCAGATTTCTTTCCTTGTAATCAAAAGTTCATCAATGAAATATTAAAGTTTTGTTTAAGTCCATCAATAATTATAGATAATATTCGGTGAAGTGAGAATTGTCCCAAGTTCCTATCACAATCATACTATTTGTATATGAGGTTAGCCTCAACACTCTTTTTAACCCCTCTCTGATTGTAAGTTACAAATTGCAATATTGATGGTCATATCGTCCAATAATAAGTTCCACATTCAGGAAGCCAGCTTGGATTAAGCCAAGTATCATTGGTTATGATGCACTGACATGGACACGTGTGTCCGACACAATACGTGTCGGATACGTCGACTCATGATTTTTCAAAAAAAGTACCGACACGACACATCACCGACACATTCATTAAATTCTTTAAAATTCTTCATTTATGTAGTTTAAATTTAGCTTTATATTTATTATTGATTTTTCTTGTTGAAATCTTTTAAATATGAGTACTTATTTGTTATTTACTAATAACTTTGAGCTAAAAATATATAATAGCTATAGTAAGAAAGAAAAATGATTATTGTAGAGTGTATGAAGTGTCAGTGTCGGCACGTGTCAGACACGGACACGCTATCGTAGTTAGAGTATCTGTCCTACAGAGATCATTAGTTTAATAAAGTCAATGGCGGACCTTTGTACCTTTCCCTACACCCCCAACACTAAGGGGAGTAAATTAACTCTCATCTTTGGGGACTTCCCCCATAATTTCTTTTGAACCCAAGTTATTTTCACTCAAATGTACATGTTCAAGCACCCAAGTTTTAATATTTTTTTTCTTGTAATAAATGCATTGACCATTTACAAAACTTGTTTGATTAAATATTTAATAATTATTACCCATTACACTGCACCAAATATCAATTCATTGCTTCGCAATAATTTTTTATGTTTCATTTAAATCAAAGTCGCTAATATAATTGAAGGATGATGACTTCATTTGTAATTTGCTTACATGGGACCATCCAATAATATTCAACGAAGAGGCCATAAGGCGTGTCAACTGTGCATTATGCTAAAAATGCTGAGAGAGGTCTTAAAGAAAGACAAATCTAGTACGCATATCTACATATGAGAAGGGAAACTAATAAATGAACAAAACAACTCCATTTAAAGGTTTGTTGAGCATTAGATTCTAAACCAACATATATTTCATTGCTATTGCTGAGTAACAAATCACAATGACTATCGCTTCAACATCAATGATATATAGTATTTAGATGAAAATAATTATAGGTGGAAAAACTAGCGGAAGCACAAGCATCAAACTAGCAGGTCAAGAAAAATGTGAAGGAAGATGGAACATACTTCGGAAGAGGTGATTTTCAAGGCTTCCCCGGAACATGAATTCATAAACAAGTAACCGGTGGTCGTCCTCACAACAATATCCAATCAATTTCACCAGATTAGAATGCCTGAGCTGCCCAAGGAAGTTGACCTCCGTCTGGGACAATAAAATAATATATTGACCAGCAAGTATCTTAAAAGTAATTTCAAGAGGAAAACCAAAAACTAAAAGAAATCCCATTAACCACATCAAATACAAACGCAGTATGTTGCAAGAACAAGAGGCTTGAAAAGACATGAAAGTTGGAAGGAAAGAACTCACGAGCCATTCACGGTGTCCTTGAAGGCCTTCCTTGTTAAGGACCTTAACAGCAACAGGGAGAGATTTGAGGCCAACCCTAACATTCTCATCTATGTAACCTTTGTAGACGGTTCCAAAGCCACCCTCACCAAGAATGTAGTCAGAACGGAAGCTCTTGGTTATGGTCTCGAGCTCAAACAAGGTGAAGGCAATAACATGGGTATAGAGCAGGGCATTCTCGCGGAAGTCCTCAAAGTTGCGGGGAGTTGAAAGATCGCTCAGATCTGATTCGGAGCGATTGTGCTTCTTTTCGGCACCCGGATTCCTACTGGATACCGACAAGACTTGGAGCTGCTGCTGAACTGCTCATTGTTTTTTCGAATCTAGAATTAGTATGTACGCGTGTACTGTGCATTATTGGGTAATGTAAGTAAAAGAATCTATTAACACCGCAGTAAACACGAATCATTGTGAAAAAAATAATAATAATAATAATAATAATACTAACTACAATCTCCTTCCCATGTAAAATAAGATTTTGTGAAATAAATTGCAAAAGCCTAATTTGAGAAACTCTAGAGTAGGAATAATAATTAATTAGAAACATAAAATTGGCATGGGAAGAAATAAGCAAAACCCTAGATCTGGTGATTGAAGAAAATGGGAAAATAGAAAAGGGGAAGAACAGAACACCTTGATGGTGAGCAGTGGAAATAACAGCAGATTCCTCCCTAGTGCCACAATTGCCCATCTTCTTCAATATCTCCTCTGCCTCTAGATTTTGGTCTCATTCTCCGGCAGACGCCAGCCTTACTTTTGTTTCTCTCCGACAATGATTTTTGTTTATGCAAATTGCAATTATTCACGGTGAACTCTCGCTCCTCACGTTCCAACCTTTTCCTTTATCAATAAAATTTACGTTCACACGACTTTATTTAAGAACAAATTGCAATAGAGGTCCCAAATATTTTTTAAAAGTGTCATGAGGTTTTAAACTTTACATTTTTGCACCCGAAGTTCAGATCTTTATTTAAGGTAATAGACACGCACTTCTAGATCTCATAAATGATTTTGTCTGAAGAATTGACAATTGACCCACGGTCACTCGCAATTTACGTGAGGATAAAAATACCTTTTAATATTATCTTGTTTAAAATGAAAAACCTTATTTGTCCCCTTTTTAATTTTTTTTAAATTTACTTTTCAACCATATATTTTATTAGAGTTGGGCAAAACTCTGTTACAGAATTAAATCGAATGGAACGATTCTTCTTAAATTAAATATCGGAATGGATATCTGAATCAAGAATCAACGGGTTTGATTCGATTCTCAGTTCTAGATCAAGAACCGAATAAGAATCGAATCTCCTTGATTTTTTTAATTTATTTATTTTAAATAAACCAAATTATTTTTGTCTAAATAAATTTGATAACTAGTTAATTTAGCTCAAACCCAAAAATATGATTTTTCAATTTCTAATCTTCAGTCCAAACCTAATTTAATCAAATTGAGCTAAATTTTATCCAAATCTGTTATTCTATTGTAGTGTCATTTATACCATTTTGGAAAATTCGAATTGAAGCTCGATGGTGTCTCTCTTAATTATTGTGAACTCATTATCTTCCTCTTCCAATGATTTTAACAATCAAATCTATAAAAAAAACTCAGTAAAGAGAAACACTAAAGACACATAAAATTGGATTACTTTTTTTGTAAGAATTAAAATTAAATATATCATTCGTTGAATTAATGTAGATTTATAAATATTAAAAAATTAAATATAATACAAAACTTGGGAATCGAACAGAACCCAACCGAACCGAATGGTAGTGTGGGCATTTTGATTGGAATTGAATCTCACAAACAGAAACCGAATTGAAATCGGAGGTTCCAGTTTGGTTCTCAAAAAAAAAAAAATAAGAATCAAAATCGAAAACCGAGAACCGAGAACCGAGTAGGTTTGGGTAGGTTTTTGGTTCTTGAATTGGAATCATGGATAACCAGATGGAATTGACTTCTACGTCATTTTTTTTTAATAATTAATAGATTGCATAAAAAAAATTACAAAATTTAATATTTATAACTTAAAAACTAAATGGACTGCATAATTCAACTTAAAGAAAATATTAAATCCAAATCTTTTGGCCCATTTTAGTTACTAAGTCCAAATATATAAATCTTGTCCAAAAACAATTTGCCCATTCCTAACCTGTAAAGAATTAGAATCCCATGGCGGCTGCCTCCTTTCCCAATTCCATTTTTGCATTTTCTTCCGTCAAACAATGAATTCGTCTCTTACACCAACATCACGGGTAATTTTTGTAACTCCTGCAATACATACTTACTCTTCCTTATCATGTTACCTTCGAATCTTTATTTGAGGATAGAGCCTTATGGCAAGATGATGAATTTCAAAGTTAATTGAAATAAATATGTGAATTGGTATGGGATTCACTGCATTGATGCTGCAAATTAGTGTGTTGCATCAAAGATTCTCACTGAAAAAATACTCTAATTTATTGTTTTCAGATAAGATGCCTTTCCTTTTAAAACTTAAATTCTAAATTGTTTTATAGCTATGTGTTTTTATATTTGATCTATAATATATAACAAAAATATATTAATGAATTAAGTTATTCATTCAATGTTCTCTGAATAAGTTCACGGTGGGAATGTAGAGATAAATAATTGACTTTGGGTTCTGGTGCAACAAGTACTATTACTTGTGGTGTGCCTTTATTATTGTTTTCTATTCAATAGCAAAATTTGTGGTGTGCCTTTATTATTTTTTTCCTTTTCAAATTACATTTGGTAAAGGTTATAACAAAATAATTTATTTTTTGTAGATGTATGATGAGACACCTAGAACTAAAAAGAAAACGAAGACAAGGTCAGCAATTTGGTTGAGATTTACTAAGGTAAGTAATGGAAAACATCAAAATACAATTACTGTGGGGAAGTCCTTCAAAGTAATTCAAAAGGTGAAACTTCCAGTATGTGGAAGCATTTGGATAGTTGTCATGCATATAAGGCTACTCAGTTTGGCGACCAACAAAAGATCTTAACACCACAGAGAAATGATGGTAGTAATGGTAATGGTAGCATGTTTAATCTTATAGCATCATTTATAATAAAGAAGAATGTAGAAGATATCTAGTTAAAATGATTATAATTGATGAATTGTTTTTTTTCCTTTGTGGAGGGTATGGATTTTTAAAGAGTTTGTGCAAAACTCAATCCTAAGTTTGATATTCCTTTTCGAAGAACAATTGCTAAGGATGTGCTCTATCTTTACAATGAAACAAATGAATCATTGAAGAATAAACTTATTCAGAATAGGCAAAGGGTTGCTCTTGCCACTGATTGTTGTACATCAATTCAAAATATCAATTAAATAGTAATCATGACACACTTTATTGATAGAACTTGGAAATTATATAAGAGGATTTTGAGTTTTTCCGTTGTTCCAAATCATAAGGGGGGGAGACATAGGAAAACTTGTTGAAAATAGTGTGCTTGATTGGGGGATAGAGCACGTGTTGACTATTACTATTGACAATGCAAATCAAAATGATACGACAATCATTTATGTGAAAAACTAGTTGAAGAATTGGAGAGCCGATTGCATAATTTTGGGTGATGCTTATTTGCATGTTAGGTGTTCGGCGCATATCATTAATTTGATTGTTAATAATGGGTTGAAGGAGTTTAATCACTCCATAGCAAGTATTCGAAATACTATAAAATATTTTCGATCATCTCCTTCTAGGCATATAAAGTTTAAAGCTTGTGTTAAGAATGGGAAGATTGGTTGCAAAAAGCTTGCTGTTCTAGATGTACATACTAGATGAAATTCAAAATTTTTAATGTTGGATAGTGCATTGAATTTTCAGAAAGCATTTGAACATATGGAGGAAAAGGATGGATTTTATTATGAATATTTTAACAAGCGTGAAAATGGACATGAAAGAGAAGGACCACCTACTAATGATGATTGGGATAAGGCAAGAAAATTTGCCAAATTTTTAAGAATTTTTCATGAAGTCACTTTGAAGTTTAGTTCATTACTACATGTTACTTTAGTCTTTACTTCAAAGAAGTTTGCAACACTGAGTAATAAAAATGATCATTTACTAAGAAGTATAGCTTGCCATATGAAGGTCAAGTTTGATAAGTATTGGGGTACAGTTGAGAAAATAAACAAGCTTTTACTTTTAGCAATTATACTTGATCCTAGGTACAAATTTGAATATGTTGCATATTGTACAAGTATCTTGTATGATGACAAGAAGGTGGAAGAGTGAAGTAATGAAAATGTTGTCTGCTTTATACAATGAATACAATGGACAACACGGTATTGATAGTGGAATTGGTGGTAATAATTCTAATAACTGAGTAACTTCAGTTGATGGTTCAAATGATGATGAAGATGGAGATGATATGAGTCCATTTAATTAAGTTGACATAGGGTACCAAAAAAATTGAAAATTAGCAATGTGGATTTAGCTGAAAAAGATTAGATTCAAAAATGGTTGGGAGAGAATACTTAAGACCCCACAAATGCAAAATTTGATATTTTGTATTAGTACTTTATCTGAGATAGCGAGGGATGTGCTTGCCATTTCCCTCTCTACGATTGCTTCTGAGTCAACATTTAGCACGAGCGAACTGGTTCTTGATTCATTTAGGAGTTCTTAAACTCCTAAAACAATTGAGGCGTTAATTTGCACACAAAATTGGTTACGTGAAGAATCTGGACTTTTGAGACTACCCCAAGATGGAATTTGTATTGAAGAGAAGGAGTTTTATGAGAAAATTGAGACGAGTGAGTAAACATTGTTTTTCTATATTCTTATGTTGCATTTGTTAATCTAATAAGTTCTAATTTTGTTAAACTTGTAATGGTTAATATCTTTTAGTTATGTCTTGTAGATTTTGTTAATGCTACAACTCATGCAATAGATATATAAATGGTTGGTGCGATGCAACTCACATAGATTAATGTAGGCGACTCAAAATCTATTGAGAATATTCATCATCTCGAGTTTGTGGTTAACCATTTTATGGCTCTTTTGATGACATTTTTCAGTTGTTTAACTTCTAATGTTGGTTTTAAAAATTTTTGAACTTCTGATTATTATTATTATAATAATATGGTCTTATTAATGCTCTTTTAAGTTTTAAGGCTATGTTTAATGTTGATCATATACTCTTACTAAAGTTCTTTTAAATTCTAACTAGTTTTTAATGCTCTTTTAAGGTTAATCTTATTAATCTTTTGTGCAATATTTAATATGTTTAGGCTCTATTTACGTCTTGGACAATTAGTTCATTAATGTCAATTATTAAATCTATGACATGATGGCTAGTTTGCGGTAATTCATCTAATTACATGGTTGGATTTACTAAATATGTATTCAAAAAAATGTTATGGGTAAACCCGAACCCAAAGCGAAACCAATGGTTCGGGTTTCGGTTTGGATCCAATAATTACGTGGAACTGAATGGATCTATTTACAAAATACCCAAAATATAATGGGTGGTTCTAGGTATTGAAATACCTTAACCGACCCACCCAACGCCCACCTCCTACTGAATGGAATCGAATCTGAATGATTCCATAATTAAATTTGGACACAACTGTTCCACTTACTAAATACGCAAAAATTTTGAGTCCAATTTGATTATCGTTAGAACCAAACTTGACCATGCCCAACCTTACATTTTATGAAATTCAAAATTTTTTATAAAATTTTCAACCACATATTTCACCAAACTTTTATCAAAATTTACTAAAAAAATAATGTTTATCCAAATTAAACATGAGCTAAAAAAGAGAACGGAAAATTAAGAAAATAATATAAAAATGATAAATAAAAATGGAATTTTTGCATAGATATCCCTATATTATCAATTGCAACAAAATTTGTCACTTTTTTAAAAAAGTCCAAAAAAATGTCGTGTTGGGTGTAAATTGTCAAATTTACCCTCGTAGATAAATTTTTCGGTGCATTTATCGCTCATTAATGGATGTACTTAAGTGCTAATTAATGTCATGATTTTATGTTTGACTTGTGGGCTTAATGTTTTTATCTTATAACTTATTAGTTTTAAATTCTCAAATACAACATGTTCATATTCATAAACAAATTATTATTCATTCATTTATTTGGATTGGTTTTGTAAACTTTTTTTAAATAAAGATAGCAATATCCTTCATTAAATTTTGTGGAGGATTTCCTAATTAATAAAGCATTGTATAAATTCTTTGAAAAGAGTTTATCATTTGGTAGTTGAGCATTAATGATCACACTTAATGCTATGAAGAATGTATTACAATCACACCCATTAAATGGTACTTGCCAAGTGCTAAGCGTAAATACTAACAGTTCAACTATTGAACTAGACTATAAAGTAAAGATCAACAATTAAAATCTCGAATTCAACAATTGGTAAATGTCGAGAAAGACATTTGAACTGTTAGTCTCATCGATTTGATACTATTTGGTATATATTCGTATGATATATTAATTGTACCGAATGCTTATCATTGCAATATGAAACTTCATATATGAGTGATAATATGAAATTCATCATGTTAAATGGAGGATAATTGTGCATGTAAATGGCGAATGAAAGTGACGAGAGAACTAAACAACGTCAATCGTAGTTCCAAGTAATATCACCTTAGCAGCACTTATCTTACGATTGATGGAAAAACTTCATATTCAAAATCCATCATTGGAAGTTTTGTAGCTATTGGTTATTTATAGTTGTAATCAATTAATATGTATGAATATAACCTTATTCAATTTAATTCTTTGGATTTCCATATCATGCAATCTTTCATCATTTTAAGTCAGGGATGATCATTGTATCACGTAGGACGATCAATTACATTTAAAAAAGTTAACCTCGTGTAATTTTTTGCATTTAGCTAAATATAGCTAAACTAGATCATGATTATGAGCCCATTTGGGAGTGATTTTGAGAATTGATTTTTTGACCGTTAGGAGAAAAGTGGGGTCCACCTGTGAGAGAAGAAATTAAATTTGACGGCTGGAAAAGTGAAATAACGGTCAAAAAATCAATTTTTTGGGTGAAAAATCGGGCCCAAACAGGCCCTATAATACACAATTAGTAATAGTTACACAATCAAGCTGTACAACCAGTTAAGCAACTATAGTTTCACAAACTATAAACTAAACTACACATATACGAAAATAAGTTGCACAATATTTTTCATCATCAAAGTACTAAGATTAGATACTTGTGTTTCATAACCTGCAAAGTTTCACTAATTTCAACTATTCAAAAAGGGACAACAATATTTTCCATTCATCAAATTCCAATTACTTCATATTTTTCCTCTTTTCCTACCATTTCTAGTATACAGAGTTCGGTTCAAAGCAGACAATATTTGGATTCGAGTCGAGTGTCACTTCATCATCGCTACTTCTTCATTTTCTATTGTATCTACCAGTAGCATCTAAGGGCACCTCCGAATCAGCTCCTTCACTAGAAGACAGTGTTGATGTGACCTTCAGGCACTCATCCAATAGCATCATAATTTGTCATTCTATGTAAAAATGGGATGTTTATCGGACAAAATTGTCAAAAATCGATACAAGAATTTTAGAAGATCATTCTGACCCAAATAGAATTTTTAAAGAACCGTCTTGACGAACTTCATATTATTGAGCATCTATGTGCACAAGTAGACATTCTTCTTCTGTCAGAACAAATTTGAAATCTATCTGCAAAAACCAGTAACGCAAAAAATACCAAAATTCAAATGATATGTAATACATTTACCTCGTAACACACATAGAAGAGCAATAGAAACAAATTTGACATTGTATCATAACTGTCGAGAATTTCAAAACAAAACTACCAAGAATGATAGTTATCTCGACATATAGATTCCATAAGAACTAAATATAATCTCTTCATATGCTAACATGAATCATATGGTTGAATCTTCAAATTGAACTACATTGCATCAAATTTAAGAAATATCAATCACGATTTCTGCCTACATTTAGATTAAACTCAAAAATTTCATTTGACTGACACATGAACCAACCATAAATTGATTCAATGAATCACAATCAATAAAAAATTAAAAAGATTCCAACATATGCATTTCAATTATTGTACTTACAAATCAAATAATCAAGTCTTCAAGAAAACATAATCATAAAACAAGCATAACTCCTTATTCATTCAAAATTGAATCAATGACCCGATAAAAAATATCAAAATGTATAAATAAATAAACAAGCTTACAAAAAAATGTAACTAAGCTGATCTAGAAATCAAAAAGTGAGAGTTAACTTGATACAAATCATATTTAAAACACAATACAAGAAGAATT